CCTCTAGAAACCAGTTCCAACAGAGTCACAGTCTCTTGTGTCCTTCCCATACATCGACATATCCTAGACGCTTGATTCGGGATACAGAAGGGCAACCTCGCCAGCGGGACGGTTCAACTTACGCATTGATACGTGCAAATTATCCGCTGCAATGCCTCTCAACTTCAACCTGGCAACCACTCTCGCTGGTCGAGCTCCGGCCCTGCTCCGTCATGGACGCAGGGTCCCGCGAGCTTTGCCCTCTCGCTCATTCTCCTCCGTGAGCCCTCTCTCAGCATCTGCATCATGCCGAGTCTCAATCGCCTCTGCCCGCCCCGCCAACTCGAAGCGCCTGGGCACCCTCAAGGTTATGCGCGCCTACAGCTCCGCTGCTGTTCAGGATGCACCCAACCCCAAGGCCTACCTCGACAGTGGAGTTATCAAGCCTCACCAGACCGTCGATGTCAAGAAGGTTCTTGTCATTGGAAGTGGTGGTCTTGCCATTGGACAGGCCGGAGAGTTCGACTACTCAGGTTAGCATACCCAATATTATCCATGCAGTGACGCACATCTCACCGACAAACTTGCGACTCACTACCAAAACTCATCCCTCAACATTCGAAATTAACACACTCAAAATATAGGTGCTCAGGCTCTCAAGGCCCTCAAGGAAGCCGGCGTCGCTTCTGTCCTCATCAACCCCAACATCGCTACCATCCAGACCAACCACAGTCTGGCTGACGAGGTCTACTACCTCCCCGTTACACCCGAGTATGTCTCCTATGTAATCGAGAAGGAGAAGCCCGATGGCATCTTCCTGTCCTTCGGTGGTCAGACTGCTCTCAACCTAGGCGTTGAGATGCAGCGACTCGGCCTCTTTGAAAAGTATGGCGTCAGGGTCCTCGGTACCAGTGTCCGAACTCTGGAACTGAGCGAGGATCGTGACCTCTTCGCCAGGGCTCTGGATGAGATTAACATCCCCATTGCCAAGTCGATTGCTGTCGGCACTGTCGAGGAGGCTCTCGAGGCCGCCGAGACCGTCGGATACCCCATCATTGTCCGTGCCGCCTATGCTCTCGGTGGTCTGGGTTCCGGTTTCGCCAACAACGAGGATGAGCTCCGCAACATGGCCGCTCGATCTCTTACCCTCTCTCCTCAGATCCTTGTCGAGAAGTCGCTCAAGGGCTGGAAGGAAGTCGAGTACGAGGTCGTTCGTGACGCCAACAACAACTGTATCACTGTGTGCAACATGGAGAACTTCGATCCTCTTGGCATCCACACTGGTGACTCCATTGTAGTTGCGCCTAGTCAAACCCTGAGCGACGAGGAGTATCACATGCTTCGAAGCGCCGCCATCAAGATTGTCCGACATCTCGGTGTCGTTGGCGAGTGTAACGTCCAGTACGCTCTCCAGCCTGATGGTCTCGACTACCGTGTCATTGAGGTCAACGCCCGTCTTTCCCGATCCTCTGCCCTGGCCTCCAAGGCTACCGGATATCCTCTTGCGTACACTGCTGCGAAGATCGGTCTTGGCCACACCCTTCCCGAGCTCCCCAACGCCGTCACCAAGACTACCACTGCCAACTTCGAGCCTTCCCTCGACTACATCGTCACCAAGATTCCCCGATGGGATCTCTCCAAATTCCAGCACGTCAAGCGCGACATTGGCAGTGCTATGAAGTCTGTTGGTGAGGTCATGGCTATCGGCCGAACCTTTGAGGAGTCTTTCCAGAAGGCCATTCGTCAGGTTGACCCCCGATTTGTTGGCTTCCAGGGTGACAAGTTCGAAGACCTCGACCTCGAGCTCCAGAACCCTACCGACCGTCGATGGCTCGCTGTTGGCCAGGCCATGCTTCACGAGAACTACTCCGTTGACAAGGTCCACGAGCTGACCAAGATTGACAAGTGGTTCCTCCACAAGCTGCAGAACATCGTCGACTGTACTCGTGAGCTTGAGCAGGCTGGCGGTCTTCAGAACCTGAAGAAAGATCAGGTCCTCAAGGCCAAGAAGATGGGTTTCTCTGACCGACAGATCGCCATGGCCGTCAAGAGCACTGAGGACGAGGTCCGAGCCTACCGTCTCAGCTTCGGCATCCGACCCTGGGTCAAGAAGATCGACACCCTGGCCGCCGAGTTCCCCGCCAACACCAACTACCTCTACACCACCTACAACGGCTCTACTCACGACGTCACTTTCGAGGACAACGGTACTATTGTCCTTGGTAGCGGTGTTTACCGAATTGGTAGCTCCGTCGAGTTCGATTGGTGTGCTGTTAGCGCCACTCAGGCTCTCCAGCAGATGCGCGAGAAGACCATCATGATCAACGTAAGTTTATATTCTCCCTTTCCGTCCCAATCAGGCATTCCTTCCTTATGTGGTGTTCGTGATCACGGCCCCACTTCGCCGAAAACGGCCCCACTTTGAAACGGCCCTCTTCAAACCTCATCCTAAATCTCCTCACAATTTCTATAATCATTTTAAAGGGTTTAGACTAATATTTGATGATAGTATAACCCGGAGACGATGAGCACAGATTTCGACTCGGCTGATAAGCTGTATTTCGAAGAGTTGAGCTACGAGCGTGTTATGGATATCTACGAGCTTGAGAATTCCAAGGGTGTCGTTGTGTCCGTCGGCGGCCAGCTTCCCCAGAACATTGCCCTCAAGCTCCAGGAGACTGGCGGAGCCAATGTCCTTGGAACCGACCCCAGGGATATTGACAAGGCCGAGGATCGCCAGAAGTTCTCTGAGATCCTTGACAGCATTGGTGTCGACCAGCCTGCCTGGAAGGAGCTTACTTCTGTCAAGGCTGCTGAGCAGTTTGCCGAGGAGGTTGGCTATCCCGTTCTCGTCCGTCCCAGTTACGTCCTGTCCGGCGCTGCCATGACCGTGATCTCAAGCCAGGAAGATCTCAAGGACAAGCTCGAGGCTGCCAGCAATGTCTCTCCCGACCACCCTGTTGTCATCACCAAGTTCATCGAGGGTGCCCAAGAGATCGATGTCGACGGTGTCTCCGCCAACGGCGAGCTCATCATCCATGCTGTTTCCGAGCACGTTGAGCAAGCCGGTGTCCACTCCGGTGACGCTACTCTGGTTCTTCCCCCAGCAAACCTCGATAGCAACACTATGGAGCGTGTCAAGGAGATTGCTGTTAAGGTCGCCGCAGCCTGGAAGATCAGCGGCCCCTTCAACATGCAAATCATCAAGGCTGAGAACCCTGAGGGTGGCGAGCCCCTTCTAAAGGTCATTGAGTGCAACCTTCGTGCCTCTCGATCTTTCCCCTTCGTCAGCAAGGTCCTCGGAACCAACTTCATCGATATTGCTACCAAGGCCCTTGTCGGCAAGCAGGTTCCTGCCAAGTCTGACCCCATGGCTGAGAAGCGCGACTATGTTGCTACCAAGGTTCCTCAGTTCTCCTGGACTCGTCTCGCTGGTGCCGACCCTTTCCTCGGTGTTGAGATGGCTTCCACTGGTGAGATTGCTTGCTTCGGTAAGGATCTCGTTGAGGCCTACTGGACCTCTCTCCAGTCCACCATGAACTTCCGCATGCCTGAGCCTGGTGAGGGTCTTCTCTTTGGCGGAAACGTCTCCAAGCCATGGCTCACCCAGGTCGTCGACTATGTTGCCCCTCTTGGCTACAAGCTGTACGCCGCTAGCCCCGAGGTTAAGGAGTTCATCGAGACCAAGTCCAAGACCAAGGTCGAGGTCGAGGTTATTGAATTTCCCAAGGAGGACAAGCGTGCCCTCCGTGAGGTTTTCAAGAAGTACGACATCCGCGGATGCTTCAACCTGGCTCAGGCCCGGGGCAAGACCACGATGGACGTCGACTATGTTATGCGCCGAAATGCCGTCGATTTCGGCGTCCCCCTGTTCATGGAGCCTCAAACCGCTATCCTCTTTGCTCAGTGCATGAGCGAGAAGCTGCCCCGCCCCGAAGGCATCCCCGCTGAGGTCCGCCGATGGTCCGACTTCATCGGGGGAAAGCCCCTGTAAATTATAACTGGCGTTTTTGTGATTGGAAAAGGGGTGGATTTGGGAGTTATTCGAATGTGTGTGTGATAAACATTTATGATAATATTAGTAGTCAAGTCTACAAATATGACAAGTTTATGATATCTCTTACTTACTACAAATTATGATGATATATATGAAGTCATTCTAAATTACACATGTCATTTCTCACTGAGGTTTTTGTGAAGTTTGAGACCATAGTAACCATTTACCCAAGTTATGATCCCCTTGGCTGGAATCGATATAACACCACGATCATGATTTGACAAATTGCGTTGGACATGATGATTAGGAATGATCTACCCCAAAAAGTTCACCCAAACTCTTAGCCTGGCTGCGATCACAACCTCGCTCTTTGTACTCTTGAAGCGCCAGCATAATGGGCATCATCCAGTAATATCACGTCAAAGCACATGTAAGCATGCACAATTCTTTTGATATAAGTTAAGGAAGCCGCCCCAATGAAAGCATTGCCTATATGCTCCGATACCTGTCCTTAACGCCGCCCCGGCTATACATGCAACATCATCTTCCACATGAAGGAAGTTCAGAAAATATCTAGCAAGAAAACCGAATCCAGCCTCACCACTTTTTGGGCTCCACGTCTCGTCTCATCTAAACCTCTATCTGACCCCCCTCCCTCCTACTATTCTTCCCTTGTACCCAATACCTCTTTCTTGACTAGGGCGGCGGTGGATTGGCGGACTTGGTCCAGCGCTCGTTTAGCCTGAAGGCAGCAAATCGCTTAGCAAGGGGTTCTCCCGAGTCGCGAATGGAATTTTGAAAAGAAGAGGACGAGGAGGAAGAGGGCGAGGGGGCACCGTCCTCCTCCCGCTGACGCTTGGGGATTCTCTCACCAGTCGATTGAAGGATGGCCTGGAGGGTCTGCCAACCCTCGGTAGAACGGAGCTGGAATGTATCGGCAAGATCGTGCTGGCTCGCTACACGGCAGAGCAGGGCTTCTTCGTCCTATGAAGCCTGTCAGTAGCTTTCTTCATACATGTCAAAACACAAGCGCACCTTGGAGAGGACGCCCATCTGGTGAATGAAGCAGAGAAGGTGAAAGTTGGAGACCTCCTGGCCCGTGGGCTTCTGGCCAGGTGATGACTTGACAAACTTGGACAGAGCGGAATGCTCTTGGCTCTCTCCGACGTATTCTCTGTTCTCGATAGGGAAGCCTTGCTGAGTGAACATGGGCTTAGGGTCCGCGGGGAAACCGTGGGTCAGTGTGACAAACAGATACTCGACGGGGAACGATGGTTTGGCATTCTCCTGGACGTTGGCGCCGTATTCGTTGACCCTGCGGTAGAAAACTTCGGGGATGTATCTTGTGCGACTGACAGACCCGTCGTCTTCCTCCTCATCGCGTACAAGCATGACGTTAGGGTCAGCTGACGGCTCAACAATGTCAGCACGAACCATTTCCACAGACTCGTTGGACATCTGGTAGGAGGAGATGGAAATCTCGCCCTGCTCATTACCGGTGATGATACATGTGACAAAATTCGAACCAAAGCTGCCTGTGTCACTCCACTTGGAGGGTTTGGGGTACTGAGCTTGCAACCTCGAAGAGAAGCAAATCTCGAGGGAGGACAAGAAGTAGGAGTCGGCGTGACGTTTGCAAACCACTGTGCCATCGCCGTTGCCAGCATCCAGCAGGTCAGTCCAAATCACTCCCACGGGCTCTAGGCCGCACTGCTTGGCGACCCTGTCGACCTCCTTTTGCGACTCCCAGGCGTTCATTGTGATACCATCGAGCTCATCAACCTGAGGAGGTTCATAGATGGCTTCCACGACAGCCTTGACACCAAGTGGGACTTCAGTGTACTCGGTGTATTTCCCGTAGAGATAACCTAGACGTTGTGACCCGGTCTTTCGCCAGGTGTCAATAAAGGTGTCGATAATGGCAGGCGAAGAGAACTCGACATGGTCGACCATTCGGAACTGTTGAGGCTGGAGAGTAATGGCGCTGGGCTGGCACTTGGTACAGATGCCCTCAGGCCAAGGGGGATGACCAGAAGGGCACTCATGCCTGACTCGATAGTAGGGCTCAACCAGGGGAGGAATGTATGAAGCGCCTAGCTCGGGTTTGTTGGTCGCAGCATTGATCTTTCGTAGGTATGAGTGGAAGGACAGGTACTTGATCTTCTTCTCCGCAAGGTATCCAGGGTTGAAAGGATCGAGGGGTTGGCAGTAGTCACACATGCCCTTGGGACCATGGCGACACATGCGATCGATGCCTCGAGGGATCTTGCCATCCAGTCGGTCTAACCGGTCGTCCAAGGCGGATTGGCGAATTACTTCCCACGGCCTGGCGATCCTTTCGGGTTTGGGGTTGATGGGAAGGTCTTCGGTCGGTAGGACGGGTTTTCCGTTAAGCCTGGCAGATGTGTTAGAGATTTCGGGTGCGTCGCCGTTGGCAGCGTCGGCATGTTGGTAGGTGAGAAAGATGAGATCGCCGTGCCTATGTATGGGGTTAGTTTTGCTGATCGGTGAGAGGTCATGAGGGCGACCAACTTGAGGCCAATCTGACCAACTTTGAAGTTGATGATGTCCCCTAGGCGCTTGGAGTCTCCTCCGTTGGGTGCGTTCGATAGAGCTATGGATTTGGGATCAACGGTCTTGGGTAGTTGATCGAGCAGCTAGAAGGACTAGAGTCAGCACAGACAGCTCGGTGCGGGCTCCGAGACGACAGACCAGCTTTCCCAGATCTCCAAAGGTAGTTGTGGGCTCGACATTCAGACGGGCCATGCCGTCGGGGCCGCGGAGTCGCAGCAACATGGTGAAAGATATCTAAAGAGCTGTCGCTACGATGGACTATGGTGGGGTGTTTAGTACTCTCTTTTGGTGCCTTTGGAGGTTGAGTATTCTCGAGTTTGTAGAGAAGGGGGGGTTCTATAAGAAGAGAACAGCTGGAAGATGGGTGGGAATGAAAAAGAAGAGCCTAGAAGTTGGAGCTGAAACGCAATGAATCAATGGCATGAAGAAAGTGAAGTTGAGCGGCGGTAGGTAAGGTACCTAGCTCTAGACTCGGTACGTCTCTTACCTAAGGCGGCTCACGGGAAAGCAATGTACCTCTGCTAACTCGAGCACAGCGTCATCTGGCGGTGCCTGCGATTGCTTATCTAATTCTCGAGTGACGTCGCACGGCAGTCAAATCCAGGGCCCATCCCGTTCGCCTGGCAGCGTATGCACCAGCCACAATTCCACGAAGCCACTTGATTTGATAGATAGAAGCCGAAGCGTAATCTGGCCTAAAGTTGGATCTGCGCCACACCACCACCAATTGAACAGTTCCCTATACCTCATTGCATTCGTGTCTGTCTTGTCTGTACGTGGGACTCGACTCATACAAACCAAAAACCCCAAGTCACGGCCGGCTCGACTTGTTTTCTTTACACTCGTTTTCTTTTTAATTACAGTACGGACGATCTCGTATTCTACTTTTGCGACTTTCATCGCTCATCATGTTCAACATCGATTGGAAGGGCCTTGCCCTCCCCTTTGCCTATGTTCTCGTCCTCGGCAGCGCACTCATGACATTCTCGACCATCTACCGAAAAAGAAAAGCTGGTAACTACGCCACACATCCAGCTCGCCAAACTGAAGAACATGCTAACATGCCAAAGCCGAGAGCGCCAACTTGGCTCCGTGGTTCGGCCCTCACCTCCAGCGCAACGTCTACCTGTCCCTGCTACACCTCGAGGACGGCTCCGAAAAGGGCCCCAAGATACCCGAAAGCGTCCTACGAGCTGCCCTTTTGCGTCGCGCTGTCGAGGATATCCGTCGTCTGATCCAGATCAAGTCTGCCAAGCAAGCATGTGGTTCCCTGTTGCAACGAGGCAGTGTGGGTGATGATCTATGGCAGCGATTTCAGCGCGCCGAGAAGGAGATGGAGGAGGAGCTCAGAGATGTCGTCACAGAGGTATGATGGTCGGAGTAGTGCGACTGCAAGAGATGAACACATCATTGACAACTCTAGGCCAACGCTCTCGCACCAAACTGGGGCCAGTCTATCTTCCAATCCGCCCACGAAATGACGGCCAATGCTACCATGCGCAGCTCAATCGAAGAGATCCTCGCCCAAGCCGAGTCAGAGAAGCAGTGGTGGGAGAAGCGTCGAGGACAGATCCAGTCAGAGTTCATGAAGGAGCTCGACGGCTCTGAGCAGAGCTCTTCGGCCAAGACTGCTAGCGAGGAGGATACCGTTATGGTCGACACGCCCTCAAAGAAGAAGGGCAAAAAATAAGCAGCTGGAGATTTCTTGTGTGGGTTGCAAGAAAAAGAATATGGGATTAGGGTGTCTTTATAGGTATATATACACATGGTTCCGGACCTACCTCTTCAAGTTTTTGGTTGTAGTATACCACATGTCACTTTGTTGCAAGGCGCACAACTCTTGGTGTGTATGGGAAGAAGGGAGGGAAATCCACACACCAGCGGCGTTGGGGGGTCGAGTTTTTGAAAATAGTAGCACGGGCTTCTTCTCTATTGATATATATGTATAGGCTCTTTCACCTCGCCTTACTCCCTTGAAAATGCAGTGATGCACGCTGGCTAGTGGCCATGTCTAGCAATGCGACCGACCCAAGATGCAGTAACAAGAAACAAGAATGCAGAGAACACGCAGAAACGACGCAGAAAAGGATATGCAAAACTCCTGTACCTGAAAATCCGATACCCCCCGAAAGACTGAAAGCAGACGGTCCTCCATTATTAATCACAGGTGGTAATTAACACCGCATGCCTCGGATGGCTTGCTTGATGCATTAGGAAAAGTGCTTTCGCCTCCAAAGATCCTCTTCGGCCGCAAGTCTCGCCTTTCGTGCCTCTGCTAGGATCTCCTCCTCCGTCTTGAGAAGGATGGGAGATTCACAGCCCCGGAGACCAATAAACTTGCCCATCTTGCGTCGCTTCTCCTCGAGAGGCAGATCGGACCTCCAGGTGACTGGGCAGGGGTACTGATTTGTCCAAGGCGATGGCGTCCTCTGGTGGTAGAAGTGTGCAAGAGACTCTAGCTGCTCATCGGTGAGGAGCCAAAAGTTGAGGACCGTGGTGGGAAATGATGGATGGACAGCGCCTGTGGTGAGCTGGACAAGAGGTGCAAGCGGAAGAGCCATCTGTTCGAGCTTTCGCTGAAGATTTGGGTTCTTTGCGAGTCTTCGCTGGGCAAAGGCCCTGTGGTGCCGTGAAGGAATCTCTCCTCGCATCATTCTGGCGGTTGTTGTAAGTGGTTGATGATGGTGAGTGGCAGAAGTAGAAGAAGAACAAGAGAAGAAGAACAAGAGAAGAAGAACAAGAGATTGAGGGTCTGGGGGCAATGATGTATCGAGTATTTGTAGTAGTGGTGGTGGTAGTAGTAGTAGTCAAGAGGTCAAGACAGCCCCAATCTCTTATTCTCTGCAAGATTCACTTCTGATTAAGAAGATTTCTTGGTCTTGGTCTCTATGATCAACGATCACAAGATCATACGTGATGCGATGGTGGATTGGCTTTGGCGGGGTGGCTATCGACAAGCCAAGCGAAGCGAACCAAACCAAGCGGTCTTTTCCGTAGAGTCCGGTCAATGAGTGAATGAATGAATTGATGACAACACAGACTCTTGTTTGAGTTTCGTAGTCAATTCCTTGATCTACAAAGGAGGCCCAACTTTTGGTTATTCAGAAAACGGAGACGGACAGAAGAGTACCTAGAGCAGAGACAGAGAGAGAGAGAGGGTGGTGGGAGGGGATATATAATAGACAAGAGGCTATGGATGCATTGGATGCATGCTACCTGTGTATAATAAGACTTGTCTAGTTGAAACAAGATCAATCATGACCTCGCTTTTCTTTCTTGATTGATACTAAAGCAAGATCTCTCCCCGCCCTTTGGGTCTTTTGGGTCCTTGGGTCTGGGAACTAAAAGTAAGACTAAGATCGCGAACAGCCAGTTGAAGGGTCTTTGTGACCGAAGCCGTTCGATTGGCCTTGTTTCTCCTTTGGAACAGGACAGGGCCTCACTTTGCGTAGTTGAACAGCTCAGCTCGATTTGTTAGCTAACTTAGCAGCTAATAACGTTTTCTAACCATCTATCTAACCCACACGCCCCCCGAGCTCGAAGCCCGAGCCCGAGCCCAAGCCTGAGGCGAGGAGAGGAGAGGAGAGGAGAGGACCCAGACGAGATGCTGTTCTGGGTAAAGGCGTCTTTGACTGCCTGAAATCGACAAGCTTAGGGCCTTGAACCGCTTTGAGCTCCAGGGTTTGACTCTGGGTTTTGGCGTGGCCTGTGAGACATGGCAAGGGAAACAGAGAGAGAGAACTAAGAAAGAAAAAAACAAGAGTCTCCAACAAACAATAACTCAAAACTCGAACTCGACTGCGTTAGACGCAATTGGGTTGGTCCGAACAAGAGACAGACACCAACAGCGGATGGAGTGGAATGTGACTTGGGGCCATTAGTTGGTCATGACTCAAAAGCAAGACAATGAGATACATGGCTACAGCATCTTTACCGCTACTCTTTTTTAATTTCCTTCCTCTTTCTTTCTTTCTTTCTTTCTTCCTCTCTCTATTTTGGTTCATTGTTTCATTCATTCATTCATTCATTCATTATAATGGCAATCCCTTATGAGTGTTGACCTAAGCACGTAGACGTAGATAACGTAGGTGTATAGTAGGTATAGGTACAGTACTATAGTAGCTTGGCCAACTGAGACCTCAATATAGCCGGCCCTTCACCGTTATCGTTCATTCAATTCACATGATGCTTTGTTCTATGCAGTTCCCTCCGCTCCCGGCGTCTAATCCATGCCTGTCTGAGTCTCTACCTGCATCTGCATGTCTTGGATTTTGGTGCGTTGGCTGTAACCATGACTTGACCTTTGACCCTCCACTTTCACTCCCACACTCGCTCAAAGTCTCACTTGCTCTTGGTTCCCAGCCACCTCGTGTCTTGGTTCTTTAATGTCTTAGACTGACGACACCTTTTCTCTCCTCCTCCTCTTCTTCTTGCGGCCTATCACTAGGTCCCTCAAGGCTCGACTAACCCCTCTAGCCCTCCCCT